AAGTTAAAACAAAAAACCAAGTATAACTTCAAACTTCATAGTATGAGGCGCTGTCTTTTACCTTCTAGTGTTTCACTAGGGTACTAATTATCTGTTTTACACTTAGACTCGCTTGGTATAGCGGTTTTGGGGTAGCGGTTAATGGTTTAAGTATTTGATAAATTTATATAGTTTGAAACCGTTACAAATAAAGTGTTTGGTAAAATTTTTATTTAGCGATTTAAAACTAACAAATAACAGTTATGATCTAAACTGTTAACAGATTGAAAAAGTTAGTTTGAACACATTGGTTTATGGTTGCAATAGTTAGTTTTTTAATTTTTTAATATCTTAAAAATATACAAAATATTAATTAAAAATATTAATATATTTAATATATTTTTAAAATAATAAAAAAATATAAAAACTAAAAATTAACTTATTGGGAAGAGTTAGAACTCCATAAAATTAAAAGATTGAATCAATAAAACGTAGGTTTGTAACCTTAAGTCTATTCTCAAAAGAAAGGTGATAACAAAAATTGCTTTTGAGGTCGAATAAAGTGTGAATTTTGAACAACTTAATTTATGAGAATTTCACTCGAAAGGGTGTGGTAATGACTACCAATCTATTTTGTTTAAACCACTAAATTTGTGTTAAAAAATATTAATTTTTTAAATATAATTATTAAGAATAATTAATAATTAATATAACAATTGATATTTATTATATAATAAATTAATATTTTTAAATATCATAATTATTTATTTAAAAAAAACTACAAATATTAATCAAATTAAATATAATTTTAATAGTCTTAACAAATAAAGTAATGACTATAATTGAATCCCAAATGATATAGACCAACAAGAGTTTAGTTGAATTAATCTTTATAAACTTAAAGCCTTTAATTAAATGTCAAAATTAAAAATATAAGTTTTTATATTATTAAACAATTAACTCTAATATATATATATAGATTAATGATTATCAATTTAACTTTAAAAAACAATTAGAGTATTAACTTACATTTAAAAATTAAAATTTAATCTATTTAAATGTTAATATTTAAATTTAAAAACCAATTATAAGTTCTAATATATCAACATTTAGTAAGATAATTTTTTAAATTTTAAATTCAATTTTAATAAAATAAAATAAAATAATTTCAAATTAAAATTTTAATTATTTTTAAAAATCAAAACTTATAGACACTCTTTATCTACCAAAAAAAATTTGTTTGGGGGATAGCAATTAAAACCAACTGTCAATAGAAGAAGAAAAAAATAAAGTTACAACCAACCATCATATCTGTTATAACCCTAGGTCTACTGGGCTTCAGAGACCAGCTTAGACCGTCAGGTGGAGTAAAACCCACAAACAAAAACCACCACTCTCCCTCCTTCCCTCCCTCTCTCCTCAGCTGCACTTCCAAATTCCCTCCTCTACCTCGCATCCTTTCTCTCTCTTCTCCTTCCACTTCTTGACTTTCCCCGCAAAAGCTCGGGGAATTCTCCTGTTCGTTGGTTGGATGCTGAGATTTACGGGAATGCCACTCTCCATCTCCTTCACGCCTCTCCTCGATTTCGGACTTCTCGTTTCCTCCTGGTGGGATGAGATCAACGACTCCTCTCAGTGGCAGGACGGCATCTTCTACACTCTCTGTGCCGCTTACGCCCTTGTCTCCTCCGTTGCTCTGGTCAGTTCCGCTTTCCTCTTCTCTCTTCGTTTTCATGTCTTTCGTTTTTCTCTGCGCTCGTGTTCTGGATCAGTGGGGAGTACGTACTAGTTGATTGGTTTCGATATGGATGGACTTGGTTTGGAATGATAGTGACATTGTAATTGTAATGAAAATTTCCAATTACTGCTGATTGTTTGAAATTTAATAATGTGCTTTTCATCTCATCCAAGTGATCGGAGGATTGATGTGATCGGTTTGATGTGTGTTTCTGGTTTTTAATTGCAATTAATATGTTTATATTAGAGTTAGAGTATCTCATTCTTGATGTTATTTTGAAGATTTCCGTGCTGTATTCCCGTGATTTTCTTGATTATTCAGTTCACAATTGATTTATAGTACTAACTATGATTTACGCAAGTCTTTTTGGTTTTATAAATTGTTTTTCTGTTTGGATGGGTAATCCACATATCTGGGTGTCTGCTTTTATGGCTTCACTGACAAATTAATAGAATTTTATGAGGCTTTGAATGGTGTTTGTAATGTGCAGATACAATTAATAAGGATAGAGTTGAGAGTGCCTGAATATGGTTGGACGACACAGAAGGTTTTCCATCTTATGAACTTTATTGTTAATGGAGGTGAGGTTCAAAGTCTTCTTATACGTGTAGTTTTTTCTTTGATACTTCACTCTTATAAGATATTGTTTTAATCCTTTGATTGTGATTTTTCATGTTGCAGTGCGTGCAATTGTGTTTGGATTTCACAGACAAGTATTCCAATTGCATCCTAAGGTTTGTTTCCGATGGAACTAAGTGAGAACGGTTCCAATTATGGCATTGTAAACTTGTTCTCATTTTAGTTATCCTATATAAACTTGCTCTAGCCTTTAGAGTAATAAGATTGCTTTTTGACATATGGCATTTTAAACTAGTTTATGTCACCCCTCCTAGTCCACTCATCAAGTCTCTTTTATACCTTAAATTTTGCTTGGGTCTCTTAGAAAAATTAAGTTTCCAATTAGGTTCTCTCAGCTCAGCTTTTAAAAGGAAAAGAGAACACTCTGCAGAAATTCATAATATTAAGCATCGCTGATACCTTCTTGGAGCATAGAGCATTTGAAGAACTTTAAACTCCTGGAAAGCAGGGCTTTATACTGACATGGGTCTATTGCATCTTGAATTAGGTACTGATGTATGTATTACTGGATCTTCCGGGTCTCTTGTTTTTCACAACATACACGCTGCTTGTCCTATTTTGGGCTGAAATTTATCACCAGGCAAGTGACTCTTCTTGTTTTTTGTCAAGTAAAGCTAGTTCATGCTCAATAAGCTAGGTTGACAAAGTTGTGCATGCATTTTTTGAACTTATGAGTTATGACATTGTACCTTGCCTTCAAATGAGCAGGCAAGAAGCTTACCAACAGACAAGCTTAGAATTTTTTATATGGCAATCAATGTTGGGATTTACTTCATACAGGTGTGTGTCAACTCACATTCTATTACACTCATTGCTTGATATTATATTTATTTTAAACCCTTTTGGTCTTTGGAGGAAGTTATCTATTCATTCATGTATTAACTTACTCTGTCTTCAAGGGATATTTTTGTGTGTGCTATCCTTCTGTATTCCTTGCTTTTAGCACTAGATTTTGCCTTTTGTAACTTGTTATGGATTCTTGGTTTTTGCTTTGTTCTGGAGTACCCATGTTTACGGAATCTCCATTCAGATTATATTCTAAAATTTTCTGTTATGAACAGTCATGTCCTTGGCCCTAGTTACCATACAAACATTTTTATATGTTAACTGAAATTTCACCAAAATGAGGTGGTGGTGTCAGGTCTGCATCTGGATGTACCTCTGGATAAATGACAACAGTGTTGTGTTACTCGTTGGAAAAATATTTATTGCAGGTAAGACCAGATACAACTTGTAGTTGAGGTTTTGTGAATTTTGCTTATAGAGATTTAAATCTTTTTTATTGGAATGCAAGCCAGACATTATAAGTTTCACTCTTTTATTTGAGATTGACACTTGTTCCCTCATTCTTTTCCCAGTGGTTTCATTTATCGCTGCACTTGGGTTCTTGTTGTATGGAGGAAGGTAATTCTTTTTGTGCAATTCAATGGCTTGAAAATTATGAATTTCAGAAGTTTTCTATCCTGTTCACTAACCTTTTTCCTTTCTGTGGAATATCTCATACAATGCTTACAGATTATTTTTCATGCTGAGACGTTTCCCCATTGAATCAAAAGGGAGAAGGAAGAAGCTTCATGAGGTTTCTCTTTTCCTATAATTTTGGCTCTTTGATTGTAAAAAAAATCATGTCTAGATTGATCACTATGAATCATATTTTGAATAAATGTATGTACAATACTGTTTAATAAGCTTTTAACTTGCTCTTAATCTTGCAAAATGGAGTTAGCAAACATAGCATTCTTAGCAGATGTGTTGTGCCCATAATCTGAAGAATTTTTGCTCCATAATATTTAAATTTAGTTGTGGGTTTCAGTTTGGTCTCCAACCTGCAAATTCCCAACAGAAGTTGATTTTACCATTCAAGGAAACAGTTTAAGTTCTATCATGGCTACTGGCTTGCATTATATGGTCACCGATTATCATTGCACGTGCACTCATAGACAAACATGTGGCCCTTACGTCCAACTGTTGCTATCATAACAGTGGTGGCAAACAATATATTTGGATTTTACATGTTAACTGCAAAATGAGTTCAAAAGTGGATTTCAACATTTTCTTTAAAAAATTGTGTTGGTCACTTGATGATTTGTCTGTATATTAGAATTCTGGTGAACTGGCCTTGTCAAAAGTGGGTAACCATGAAGATATCACTGTCTGAGCATATCTGAACCTATAAAATTTGGATATCTTCGGTGGCTTGCAAGTAAAGAATTCAATTGATTGGTTTTGGTGTGGAAAATATTTGTACAGTGTCTTGCAAAGTGAGTGTTTCCTGTTAAAGTTAGATGTGATCTTCTGCAGGTTGTATTGGATTTGGTTTCTTGCCCTTTTATTTGGTCAACTTTCCATTCTGTGATTTAAAGTTTATAATATTATTTGATTTGATATGTGGTTTCTTGCAGGTTGGATCTGTCACAGGAATTTGTTTCACCTGCTTCCTTATAAGATGCTTTGTTGTAAGTTTCAAACAAAATGTCTGACTCAAACAATTATGCATTTTTTAAAAAAAATTCTTATGTTGCTGATTCTTATGGCAGAGCCAGAGTCATCAGTGTAGCATGTTTTCTTGATTTGCAGTCATTTATGCTGTTCCCGTCTTTATCTGCTCTCTGATTTGCTGCTTGTCAATTCTTAACTTGCAGGTTGTTTTATCAGCATTTGATGCAGATGCATCACTTGATGTTTTGGATCATCCAGTTTTGAACTTCATCTACTACATGGTATTCTACAGAGCCTTTTGTCACTTTTAACCCCACATACTATCTTGCCTCATATTTTTCTAACAATATAATTAATTCTATTGGTCAAATGACAGCTAGTTGAGATCCTTCCTTCAGCTCTAGTCCTGTACATCCTGCGTAAGTTGCCTCCAAAGAGAATATCTGCCCAATATCACCCAATCCGTTAGCCAAAATGCTTCTTTGTTCGTTCTGCCATTCTTTCCCCTTAGAGAATGCATTTTCATGTTTGGAGGGTTAGATGCTATTGTAGTTGAGCAAGAGGAGGGCCAGAAAGGTTCCAGACGTATTGTTCTGGATGGCTCATGGTGCGGGCAATTTTTTTTTTCCTTTTTCAGCCTGTATGTGCATATTACATAGCCTTTTGCAGTGTGGTAAATGGGAGATTGTTGAATTGATTTTTCAATCAGCTGTGGCATAGAGGTTTTGGTCACTGAATACTTATGCATTACTTGGTTGCCAATTAGTAAAAGGAAATTTTTTCTATTGCTTCATTGTAACTGTTGATTCATCCCTAATCTGAGAGGTTTACCACCGTGTGCACACTGCAAATATATAGTCTGGATGATCATCTTAAATTTCTCGGGTTCTCACAACACAAATTACAATGGCCGAGTTGTTGTATGCCTGCTTTCTTGGGTAACCGAACAAGTTCACGAGCATGTAGTCTATAGCCTGGAAAGGCTAGAATTAATTCTGCCTTGTAATCAAAAAGGAAAAGGGGAAAAGAGGAAAGAAGATGGCGTTGTCAAGTCCCATGCTCAAAAGAAAAAGAAAAGGGAGGAAATAGTTGATCGTGTAAACATGTGGTTGCCAGAAGGTATGGATCGTGACAGATTGCACAAAACAGCATCCATTCTAAGTTTAACTAACTAGTAATGCTGAGTCTAGATAAATTATACAACCCCACATCTTTAAATCCGCATAGCTGTACCGGCAGCAACGTGACATGTACACAAACTCATACAATGTACGGATTAATCTTGAGGAACTTCCTCTGCTGCGGGTGGAGCAAATCTCACATTTGCAGGACGGGCTACTACTACAGCCTCATCTGCAAATAGTACTTTAATGAAGGATGGAGTTTTAAGAGGTCGGCGACCGGTCATTCGTGGATATACATCTTCAAGAAAATAGTAGGCATGACCAGCTATCATTCCCTGTATCAACACAAAAATATTTCATTCAGGGGAAAAATGATAATGAAGAAAATGCAAAAGTAATCTACAAGAATAGCGAGTGAACAGAGGATCTAGGCATAAACATGAACAAAATCGGTTATAAGAGATCATCATTTGTTTAGATGAATGCCAGGGCTGGAGCTTTGGAGAACCAAGTATCGTATCATGACTTCATAAATTGTTAGCTTACATGAAAGCAATAGTTCAAGCTTAGTTTCAACATTGAAAGGGATTCAAGGATTTTTAGAACATAGCTTCTGTCCACCTTGGTGAAAGATGAAAACCAATGGATTTTTGATATGTGAGGAATTTCAATGCCTAATAGAAAAACCTACCATTGCAAAATACTTTCAACATTGAAAGGGACTTAAGGAACATAAAAGTCAAAACTCACCAAGAGATCCACCCATGCACTGGCACCAACAAGGACAGAGAATCCCAACAGCACCTGTAAGAAAAGCAAGGAAAAAAATCTATTAGACTATGGCAGGACAAATGGGCAAAGCTACTTATGGCATGTCATATGTGATTGATGTAGCAGACATGGTGGAAGAACAATTGATAGTTAATGTCATGAAAATCAAATTTGTAAGCTTCTGGCCAAAAGCAACAAAGATTGAATAGATTACTCACCCATGGCAGGTAAGCTGCTGTGAAGGTAAAAAGACCCAGAAAACTCATATGGATATAAGGGTTTTGCTTGCTCCACACATAAACCTGCATGTTGTAGGAATGTGAGAAGGGTTTTAAGAAAGTTATAGGACAACCAGCATGGTCAGTTTCTTTTTCTTTTCTTTTCTTTTTTTTTTTTTAGGGGGGATAAAAGGTGAATTTATTTATCCAGAAATACTTGCATGAAAACAAAGCCAAACTAACTAACCATCATGAATGTCAATGAATTGCTAAGGAATATGATTTTTGCAAAAGACACAGACAGATATGGTATCATTCCTCCAACAAGAACAATGCCTGTTAAGACAGTAGCACCAAACAAGAGCATGTAAAAGAAATCTGCAGTCCTTCCCCTGAAGGAGTTCTCTTCCAGAAGCTTGCAATAGCGGGCAAGAAAGAACATATGAAACATGAAGTCCAAATCTGGCCGTATCAAGTGATAAACTATGTTAGAAAATAAAATACTGATTTCTGATAAATAGCTTCAATCATATTTCAACTTATCAATAAAATTAAGAAAATTTGAGGATTTAAATAAACCCCAAATTTTAAAATTTTAATTAGGATTGACACACTTAATGACATATAAAGTTAAGAAAGTAGGAACCATTCATACGGGAGAGTCACGTCCAAACTTAATAAGGAGAAAATTTCAAACTTTCAAAATGTAGGAATCAAAACCTCTAAAAAACTCCAGATTATTACATACTGAAGATGCCATATTGTTAGATTCAAAATCACGCATAAGCTTTCAGCTTAACATTTACCCATCTTCCGGAAGTACAAGAAGTTGGTTATGAGGCGCCAGAACTGGTATTGCTTAACCACAAGCATAGGGTTCAAGTAAAGATGATAAGGAGATATTATCTGCAAAAAAGAAATCAAACATAAGAATACTAACCCAAAGATGAAATCACTTCATGATGTCAAAAGTTCAACAACCAAATCCAAAATGAAGGAGATAGACCCATCATCAAGACATGGACATTAATCAACAATAAAAGACTCTTGAAAAATAAAATCATAAATCATAAAAAGGAAAATACTTGACCAACCCAGATGGCAATAGTAAATCCCATTCCTATGGGACTCATAAATTAAACCAAACCCAGCTGAAATCAGACCAAAAAATACAATTCATACTAAATTGCTCATGTATTAGTGAACGAAATGGAAAACCCAAATGCAAAAATGGAACCCAAATTGAGAATTAGCACAAACCCAGAAGAAAAATGCAAGAATTATAGTCCAAGAAAGAGAAAGCGGCATACATCGAGGGAGCAACCGATGGTTGTGACCACTGCGGCTGTGAGATAGGAGCGGGTGATGATTGGCATCTGCTTGTACCATTCTTCAACAGCTTGAGCCATTTTCTCCACCCGGAAATCGTTAGAGAAACAATTGAACAAGATTTCTGAAACCCTAATTTGAAAAAGGTGAATGATTTAGCGAAAAAGTTTGGGGCTTTAAGGGTTGATCGAGAGTTCGGGGAAGAATAAAATAAAGAAATACAGCGAGGGAAGTACAAAAAATAATGAAATATATAAAGAATATTAAAGATATGACGGGTTATTATTTGCCTTGTATTTCTAATGACACACCCAGACGAATCAGAAAGCGCGTGGTTTACACGAACCAATCAGATCCTCCCTTTAATTGAGATTACCTTAAAACGCGTTTTATGAACACATATATAGTCATAATTAATCCCTTTAAAATTCGTAAAGTCACAAAAGAAATAAATATGGAGTAGTATATGTGGATGAAATACCTAAATAAATTCAACCTTAAAAGTTACTTAGTAGGATTTGACATGATTTGACTAAATTAAAAGTTTTATAAGTGAATTGATTCTTATTTTTTTTATTTAGGGGTGAATCTGCCACTACAATCTATCTTTAGGGTGTATTTAAACATTTTGCCTATTATGTAAAGTGTTGGTTTGAGGGCAATGGAAAGAGAGGAGAATAGAGTAAATATGTTATTTAGTTATAAAAAAGAATTGAAGAAATGAGAAGAAATGA